CATACTAGGGAATAACAAAGGCATGCCATTAAACAAAAAAATGCATCAGAGATCAATCAGCTGATTAATCTATCTATCCTATGTAAGATCAGATATCACATATGAAGTAAGTACTATAAGTCAATTCATGCACAATTTAAAGGAAGTGCACTTACAAACAACTTACAAAATATTGCAATACTTAAAAGAATCACCACGGAAAGGGATTATACTCATGAAAAATGACAAATTACTCTTAAAAGCCTCTATTGATGGTAATTATGCAAGGCATGTTGTACACAGAAAATCCAGTACAAGCTACTGTACTTTATTTGAAGACAACCTAGTCACTTTAAGAAGTAAGAAACAAAATGTTGTTACAAGCTAAAGTGCAAAATCAGAGTTCTGACAATGGTACAATGGATATATGAACTAATATGGATTACAATAATTTAGGAAGAACTTATAATCAAATGGAAAAAACTTATGCGCCGATAATGTGAGAATAAGTTGATCACAAACATCACTCACAATCTGAAAAAATAAGACCAGATCAAACATAGCAAAATTGACAAACATTTTATTAAAGAAAAACTTGATAGCAGCCTAATACGTATCCATACATGTTCACTAATTCTCAATTGACATATACGTTAAATAAAGACTTAGACAATCCAGCACATCCAACTCCTATTGGCGAGTTGTAATGAATTATATCTATTCCCCAGCTTGAGGAAGAGTATTAAAGAGATAGTGTATTAGGTTAAAAGGTATAACGTACATTACACCTTTTCTAATTAATTGTAATTAATTGATTATTTTCTTTTTCCATCTTAAAAAACTTGTATATATAGCGTTGTAATAATCAATAAAATACACATCAGATCATTATTAACATATAATAAAATTGAAAATCCAAAAGAAGTAAGGTCTAAACATAAAGAATATGCCCTTTAATGAGCCTGCTCTGGTCTCTCAGATGAGAAGCTTCCTGGGAATCCTATATCTTAACTTGTCTTCTAGGTAACTTCATGCCTAGTAACATTTCTAAAGTATTGTTTGCATAATGTCTACCATTTGTTTGACTGTGTGTTTTAAGTAAGCCTTTAAAATTAATCAACAGTAATGTCCTTTTGTAGATTTAATTTAAAAGCAATTATGGAAAAAAATTATTTAAACAAAAAAAAAACTAAGATAAGTGAAGCCGCAAGTTGATTAAGATTCTCACCTTTCAACTCCAACAGGTAGGTAAGGTCTCGTACCAGGATTGGAGTATGGACCCAAAGGAGGTGACAATGCTCTCTCTACAGCTTCATGCCCCCTATAATCAAAAAGACATCCATAAGTTGCAGATCTCCCAGTATTGGAGTATCCATAAATTTCCAAAGCAACATAAGAATGAAAATGCCAATGGATAACTGAGCTAGAAACTAAATGATGAGAGTCTAAACATCAGACATGGATATTTGAGAGCTCAGCCAGCCAGTCCTCAAAAACAGAGCCGCAAAGGACATTTATAAGTATTTCTTGTTGAATCCTACGGAAAAAAAACAAACATGCAATGATGGTAGTACTATGATTTCTGCAAGCTAAGTTGGACTGCACTCAAGTAGGAAACTATCTAGGAAATAAGACTATTTATTTCCATAAATATTGAATACAGAAGTCCCATTAGTATCAATGTCTCTAAACAAGTATGAGAATGCATGAGTGCATCTAGTTGTTGGTAAGCAAACAAACAAGCATATGCATGAATACGCATGTTTGAGTAGCAAACAACAATACTTTTTTGCCCAAAGTAGATTCTAAAAGCAGTACATTTGATATGAGTATATCATTTGAATAATATGATAAATTCAAAAAATAAAGCTACAGATTTTGAAAGGGGTTCCACCTTTGGACTCCTGCAGATTGGAAAGGTTTCACGAGAGGTCTGGAGTTCTGAAAAGCCAGAGGCGGTGATGGCATCCTCTCAACAGTGTCAAGTCTCCTATAATCAAAATAAC